GTCATCCCCAGTAGCCAGTACCAGGTTGAGCAGCGCTTTGCCTCTCGTTGGCCCATGGATTTCTTGAGTCAGGTAGAGGTCATCCACGCATGAGAGGAAGCTCTGCGACCGCTCAGATTTTGCTGAGCGATCCTCCCACGAGATGTCCGGGTAATTGAAGTCACCCATGACAACCATGGTCCTGGAGCAAGCTGCCTCAGCCAGTTCCTGGGCAAACTCCTGGTCAAGCTCAGGACTTTGAGTGGGAGGTCTGTAGTAAACTCCCACCATTGTGTCCCCTGTGCCGTGTTCCCCACGGATTTTAACCCAGAGGGTCTCTAGCCGTCCACCCTGGTCGCCAATATCAGCTTGCAGGGTGAAGCCGATCAGAGCGCAGCCTGACATTGTGAGGCGGGCAGACACCCATTGGGTCTGCCAACCCCACAGAGTGCAGCCCAGCGGCGGAAGGCAGGAAGAGCCAGGGCTGTGCTGCCCACCAGGCTGAGCCACATGGGGCTACAGAGCCACTTGGGAGGCAGGGGAGAGCCAGGGCTGTACTCCACCACCTGGCTGCTGTTTCGAAACTTGAAACGTTTTGAAACTTTCAAAATGTTTTGTTTCAAAGCTGTTTTAAACCCCTTCATTTCTTTTCAGTTTTGCTGTTTCAAGCTCGAAACGAGTCAAAACAGTGTCAGAATGAAACAGCTGGTGAAATTTCGCACAGCCCTATCAAAAAGCCTGAGGCTGAATTGATTCAGTCTTTGCACATTAGTCTAAACTGAAGAGATTAAAATAAAACAGAAGTGAACAGGTATTTACCTTTGATTCAGGAAATGCAACCACATGCCTGCACTTGTTCAGGCCAGAAGCTGAGGAACGCTAGAGCACAGCTCTCTGGCATATAGCTAGCATAGGCTGTGTGTTCGCTTCCTCTTCCTCCTGCCCCTGAGGTCTCTGGGATTTGCAGTCCCAAAATCACAGCAACAGAACTCTGCAGGGTTGCTCATCACTTCTTCTTCCTGCTTCCAGGTGCCTCTGGGATTTGTAGTCCACAGTCACAGCCAACAGTAAGTTTAAGCGGGGGAAGGGGTATTTAATCCACCTCCCTGGCCCCAGACTGCAGCTGGGTTTTGCCTGGGAGGTCAGCCAGCCCCCGCCCCCGGCTAGGCCGAGTCCCCAGCTGGACTTGCTCCCACCCCCCGTCAGCCAGCCCTCACTGATCCAGCTGGGAAGCAGAGGGCCAGGGCCAGGGTCAGCCTTGCTCTGTGGAGCAGATAGCATGGTCCAGTCTCAGGCTGCAAAGCATGCTGGGGGACTGTGATTTAACTTGAACCAGGAAGAGGTCTGGGACAGAAGTTTCATAAACTGGTTTGACCCGAATCAGTTAATTCTGATACTACATTCAACCAGGTTTCTCTTAAACCAGTTTTAGCCATTTTGAAACTAGTTTATGTGCACTGAGTTTTTGTTCTGTTACAGGTTTAAACTAGTTTCTGATCGCTTTAACTGGTTTATGTGTAACTTCTGTCCCTAGCCACTGCACTGTGCATTAGAGAACAAGATGAGTTGCCATGCATTTTCTGTTCTTTCTGAGTAGTGTTTTACGCATGGCTCTCTGAGGCTTTGGTGCCATGATTCCTGAGGCAACTTTTTTTACAAGAAAACTGGAAATAGTAATCCAGGTTCTCTTCTGTTATAAAGCAGTGTAGCCCTGTTGATTTCTGTGTAGCCTCTGATGATTAGTAAACCCTCAGGCTAACTACAGATAGTTAAAAAGCTGAGGCTGAATCAATTCAATCTTTGCAGGTTTGTCTAAGCTGCATGGATTGAACTGATAAGCAAGTGAACAGACATTCACTTTTGTTTCTGGAAATGCAGCCACATGCCTGCAGTAGCCCAGAACAGGAGCTGGAGAGTGCTAGGGCACCCCTCCCTGCTCAGCTGAAGCAGACAGCTTGGGCCAAGGTTATATTGCCCACTATGTGAGGGGGGATTTGCAGGGAAGTATAAAGCATCCTGGGATGCTGGGAGACTGTGAGTTAACTTGAATCTGGAGGGGACCTGGGACAGAAGTTCAATAAACTGATTTAACCTGAATCAATAAAGGCTAATACTACATCCATCCAGGTTTATCTTAAACTGGTTCGTTATTTTGAAAGCAGTTTATGTGCACTGAACTTCTGTTGTGTTACAGATTTGAACTGGTTTCCAATCACTTATACCGGTTTATGTGTAACTTCTGTCCGTAGCCTCAGTCTCTGGCCTAGCATTCTCATATAGCACCAAAGTGTGCAAAATGCCTTCCAGGGCATTTGTACACATGCTTGAGCTGCTTTTAAAAGTGCCTGGTGCTGCGGCACATGCATTTGTATAAATGGCGAAATGCGCATCAGCACTGAGAAAATGGTGGTGGTACACTTTTGAACTAAAACACATCAAAGGTGTTTTAATTCGAAAGCGCACCGCCACCATTTTCTCAGTGCTGACATGCATTTTGCTGCTTATACAAGTGCACGTGATACAGCGCAGTGCGCATCAGCTTGCATGCGGAGCAGACTTGATTGATCGAGTCTGATCTGATATGTTGGATCTCTGTTGCGTCGCAGCACAAAAAGGTATGTGTATAAATGCTCTAAATGTTTTAAACATTTAAAAAATGATGCTTTGCCAAGCTTTGCTGGAATCAATGAACAACATGCAGAAATTTTACTGAGAGAGCATGTTGCACATAAAGCTATAGCTTACATAACTCCACAGTCACAGTCTCTATACTTTGCTTTAACATTTTCCACCTTGTGCATAATATCCTCTCCTACTCATCTCCCCCTCCCCCCCCCCCCAAACCCCCCCCCCCCCCCCTCAACTCCACAGTGAAAAATGCCATGAGAAGTTTTATTACTGGCTGGAGTGGTTTAAAAAGATGTGTGCTGCTCTTGGAAGCCAAATTTAAATATTTCATGTTTAAAAGATATACAGCATATGCCTACAGGAGAAAATGCAGTTTTCA